TTTCTGGCTTGTTGCCAACAAACATAGCTGATTTGAAGTTAGCAGAGCCCTGAGATGGAAGGAGCCTGTCTCCCTAAATCACTGTTAGTGGAGATCTCCTCACTCCTCAGGAAAACCCAGAATGTAAGAAAGAAGTACATTAATATAGAGTTTAAGCTTTTATACCTTCTTTGAAATATTTAGTGCAGCAACTAGCATTATTTACCTAACTCAGAAGGATGCACTATATTTCAAAACAAACAGACTGAACATCCTAAAGATATCAGTACTCTGCAAGTTGATCCACAGATTTGATACACTTCCAGTGGAAATCCCAGCAGAGCTTTTCCTGAAAGTTTGGCAAGCTGGTTCTAAAATTTATGAAGAACACCCAAGGGCCAAGAATAGTAAGACATTTTTGAAGACAAAGAGAACAGGATGGAAGGAAATTGCTCCCTCAGATATGAAAGCTAATTATAATGCTATAGCTCAAACTAATTACTAGAGGAGGAAATACAAGTTAAAACCACAGTGATTTTGTACTCACAGATGGCAAAAAGGGAAATGTTTATATTATTAAATCATTGTGAGGATGTAGGGCAATTAGAATTTTTATACACTTCTGGTAGAGAGAGTAGCAATATAATATAATCCCTTTGGAAAATGTAGTTGGCAATATCTAATAAATTTGAAAATGCCATCACATCTTTGACCCAGCATCTCTACTGTCTTATACATATCTATTAGATAACATGGAAAACAATATCAGTAGAAGAATTTTGGAGTGGCATGTAGTTAGAAATAGCACAGATGTCCACCAACAGTAGAATGGATAAAAATCATTGTGTGTTAATTAAATGGTGTTATGATACAGCAGTGATAAAATGGACTTCAGGATGGATTAAATTAACAGATATAAATTTGACTGATAAAAAATGCAGTTTGCCCCAAAATAGATAAGATCTACCTATAGTTTAAAATATAAAAGTTTTGTCATACTTAGGTATATTAGATATGGGGCAAAATTAGAAATGAATGCAAGCAAGTGATAAGTGTAGATGTCAGGGGAATGATGACCTCTTGCCCATTGGGCAAAAGGACTCCCTAGGAGAAGCACGTGGACCTTCCATGTTGGCTTTCCTCTAGTTATTTAACTGGTGGGTGGTACAGGGAGTTTTATTCTCATGCTTTATAACTTGTATACATGTCACATTGTTTTATAAATAGACTTTATGTATATAAAGTATATATACTTGTTATCGTTCTCTTTTTAGTTTCTCTCTCTCGATATATACATATATATATATATATATATATAGATAGATAGATAGATAGATAGATAGATATAGTATTTCCTAACTTAAAAATAAAAATAATTATCAGCTCCAACAATATTCTGTTGCCAAGAAATTATTAGCTGTACTTAGTAAGTGACAGTTTTTCCCATCAGTGTGCTTAACATGGGCTACTGCTTCTCCTTTAAATACCTTCTACCTCCTCATCAATTTACCTGTACAAGGTTCCCTTAGAGCCTGGTTCAAGTCTCAGCTCATACAAGTACCCATGACCTTCCTAGACCTCATGCTGATTATATCTTATTGAAACCTTCCTAGACCTCATTCTTATTATATCTTATTGAAACCCATATGAGCAGTTATCTCTTCATTTTTTTTCTCACTAAACACAAGTTGAAAATCTGTTACAAATGCTGTAAGGTACAAAATGAATAGATACAATGTCTTTTCTTAAGGAGCTAGATTTACTCACACCCAATTGATGGTACTCCTACTAGGGATGTAATTGTGGAATATAAGCACTGTTAGAGATCCTTATGAGAGAGGAATTGGTTCTGTGATTCAAGAAAATCTTCAAAGAGCCTCAAAGAATTTTTCCAGTTTGCCTTTGTGCATGCAAATAATCCCTTTTTTGCCCACCTTCTGCTAAATACTCTGAGCATTTCAGCTGAATCTCCATACCCCATAAAGAACAGGCCATTGTTATGAACGATTCATCCACACATACCTTAGCCTCTCTCTAACTTGATGGAAATCACCTATTGTTTCCTATTTAGAGGATGGACAGACGTATCTGAAGGACATTGAATCAATTTTGGTTGTTGGCAGACAGGATGAACAGATTCCATTTTACCCTTGTCTAGACTTGGGTAAAAAAAAAAGTGCCCTAAAAATGCCACATAAATATTATTTTGGAATGTTATGTCTCCATGAATCATCTGGCTTAATTAGACTGGTCATTTTGTGTCCATATTTATGTGACTGAGAGAACCAGTATCTGACAGATTTTCTGACCTAGAGCGAAACTTCTGGGAACAAGCTCATACTTTTTGGACCCAGCTCCAGCAAGCCACAGTGCTAATTTTTCTGTTTCTCAATGATGCAGTCATGGCTACAGATTTGGAAGTATCTTAAAACCTTCTCATTTATTAAAGTCTTTAGATACTTAATGATTGTAAGCTTTTAGCTTAATTTAAGCCATGTTTAATAATAGAAATTTAATAGAGACAAGGAGAATCTGCAGTCTGGTTCTCTAGAGATTCTTCTTGAAAGCCTACTTTTGCTAGTAGAATGTGAGGGGAAAAAAAACAGGGGTCTATTTTCTTATTTTTTAGACTGATCCCTTTAAGATATAAGTCAGGCCATAGCATCATACATCTTTCCCTTAATCCTACAGTAACTCTTAGAAGAAAAATCCAAAGTTCTTTCTGTGGCTTACAAACCCACTCCAGAATCTGCCCTCACTTCCTGCATCTCTCCCTCTCCCACATTATGACCCAGCCACACTGGCCTTCTTCCCAGGCCTTGAACTTACCAATGCACGTTCCCATCTCAGAGCTTTCCTCCTGACAGAATCACTATTTACAGAACTCTCTCTAATTCCACTCAGATTTCTGCTCAAACCTGCTCAAATGCTTTCTCCTTAGCATGGTTTTTCTTGGTCACCTTATTTCAGATACAATTCATATTGCTCTCTGTGCCTAATTCTGCTGTATGTTTCTTTATAGCATATGTCACCATCTGACATTCTATGATCATCATGGCATTATATTTATAAGCTTGTTTTCTTTCTCTTTTTCTTAATATAAACTCTGCCAGAACTCTTTCTTTATCCTGGTACTTGGTATATGGTGATGCTCAATGAATGTTTATTAAACAAAAAAATTAAGTAACTTCCTTTTCATTGCCCAGATGGGATGGGGTAAAGAAAAGGTGGAGGCTTGTTTTAGAATCCATGGTGGTGTGAGACAGAGGGAGCTTGATTTTTATAGAAAACATACAGAATTTGACAGAAGATGTAGTCTTCTCTATTAGGCATGTAACTTTGGGTAGGTCTGAATGTCCGTTTCTTCTCACCAAATGAATTAAACCAAAGTTGATATGATTTAAGAAGATAAAGAAAGTGATGAGTTCATAAATCCTAAAAAAATTATGTAGTGATTACCACCTATGGCTCAATATGCAAATATGATAAAAGCAGAACCAGCAATTTAAAATATACCACCTTAGAGCCAGAAAACTTCTTTTAAATAGCTATTAAATATTCAGTCATTCTTTTTTTTTATAAAATAAACCACATACATACTTTTTGTTTAGATCATAAAAAATTTATTTTTAAGTTTAGAGTGATGAAAACTTTTCTTAAGCAGAAGCTAAAGGGAAATTAAATGCAATTAAAAAATGAGTTGAGAAGCAGTTATAAACCAATAAAACGTAATATTTCCACCTATTTGTGCATACAAATGCAGCTATAAATGTTGCTTTCTTATCTCTTAAATTTCAGTCTTTATAAAATTAGCTACAATTTTCATATTGGTTTCTTCTCTGAGGAGTAAGTAGATGTGCTGATCTCAGCTGGTTACAGGTTTTAATTCTATAATATCCCTAGTTATCTCCTACATATAATCTTTGTGAACTGTTCTGTGTGGATAAAAGAAAACAGTAAAAGCCTACTTTGAATTATGTTATGTAGATTCCCTTTTCCCAGTAAGGAAATTCTTGCTATTGTGGGATAATAACAAAGCGTGTGTAAGATGGTAACTTTCTAAGAAATTTAAGGTAAAATAAAGATTTTAAATATTTGAATAAGTAATGGGGCATGGATTTTATAACTCACTGGCTTACACTTTTTTAGATGAAGGCTGATTTTGATATGCTAACTTTGTTTATTTAATTCTTTAGAAAAGATTAATGCCATTTGAGATCATCCATGTATAATGAAGTTGTTAAAATGTGCATGTTACAGTCCAGGAACAATTGCCGTGCTGTTTACTTGAGGGAACTGGAACATGGTTTTGTTAAAATAGTATCTGTATATATTAGAGATGAAAACTATGTGCTAAGTACCCCTACACAGGTCTAACCAACTGTTTGTTGTACAGGGCGGGTTTGGTTTCAGTTACTTACACTGCCTCAATTCAGTGATGGGGCCTCTACAGCTCCAGCTTTCTTCCCTGTCTATTCTGTGCACAGAGTTAATTGAGCAGAAGCTAAGAGAGGTGGGAGAGCCCATTTTGAGAAGACAGAGAAGTGGGGGTACTGATTCTTTACCCTGTGAGAGTCCCTCCTTCCCTCTCTGGGACATTCTCAGAGTCATGGCCCAGCAATCTCTCTCCAACCCTATTCCCCCAACTGTTTGTATTTCCATGATGGAGCTTTCTGCACCCAGAGTTGTATCACTTCCCCTTTCTCATTTCTTCCCACTGAATACCACCATCATATTTAAATTTGCTTTTGGCACTGCTTGTTGGGAGCATATTACCAAAATTGAATTATCTTCTAAGGGTGATGAGAGTAGAGGTGCATGCAACTAGATTTATATCTGATCCTGCAAAGAAATATGTAACACAGAGAGAGAAGAGACAGAGACTGTGTGTGGTGTGTGTGTGTGTGCATGTGTGCACATAGGAAAGGGTGGGAGTGTAGAAAGATTTAGGAAGTTACTGGAAGACTTAAAGAGGAGCATAAGTTTTATAATCTCTGACATTTTCTTTGATTCCTTTCCAGGTTGACTTTGGATTTGCTAAAAAAATAGGTTCTGGACAGAAAACATGGACATTCTGTGGGACTCCAGAATATGTAGCTCCTGAGGTCATTCTCAACAAAGGGCATGACTTTAGTGTGGACTTTTGGTCCCTGGGAATTCTAGTGTATGAGCTCCTAACGGGCAAGTAAGTGTATACCTTCCAGTTTTATTTAGACACTTTATTTTAGAGAAATGCCAGAGTAACTCACTAATGATAATAATTTGTAATTCAGGAGTTTAAAATATTTATGAAACATCTTTATTAAGTATGTTGCCTTTTTCTCTTTATATTGTTTCAAATACAGTGAGGTTGTAAGCTTATAGCATGCCAGAAAAGATTCAGGAAGTTGAAAGAAAGGAGTATAGAATTGCTATGTTTTACCTAAAATGTCAAGGTACCTTATTGAAGATAACATTAAATATGGGAGGGCTTTCTTTGATGATCCAGCATTAGACTAAAAGAGGGAATGAATGTTTGTAATGAAAGTTTTGAGTGATTGTTATCATTTCCTCTTTTTAAAATTTGTTAAGAAGCTATTTTCCTAATTCAATTAAATTCATTGATCAAACAAACTAAATTTAGCCATATTCTTCCATCTTCCCAACATATCATTAACAAGAAATGCTAAGAGAAAGCCATACTGCTGGATTTAAATTCTCATCCTCTTGCCAACTCCTTTCTAGAGGTGTTAATGAACACAGACAAGACGCATCAGGGGTTTTAGCAGTTAAAATTGCATTGTAATTTCCAAAGAGATTAAAATACTATATTAATGAATTCAGGGTCCCAAATATTTAACACACATACACACATACAGACACATGCACATGCACATACATCATAGAATCTATGTGATATTTGCTCACATTTATAAAATGCTTCACAGTTTACAAAGCACTTATGTAAGCATTATCTAGTTTAGTCTTCATAAATTGGTATGGAAGATAAGGCAGGAATTTTTATTATTATTTTATGATTCAAGTTTTATTATGATTATTTTATGATTTGAATTTTATAGATTAGAAAACCAAGTGAGAAAGCTACCTGCTGAAGATCAGTAATTTAATCTCAAGTCTTCTGGTTCTAAATGAGGTGCACTTTTTGTCACACATGTGGCATTGTATCCATTTATGATGTAACATGTGGACACACACAGAATTCAAATCAGTTTTCTACCTCCTTTTCTCATTAAGTGATTGTATTATCCTTATAACAATTTATAACCAAATATTTCTCAATCTTAATTTCAGAGAGGATTCACATATGGAATGATTTAAGAAATACTGGGATAGGTCTATTGGGGGGTGGGATAGAAGTCTCAAACACTTACTTGAGAAAGAGAGCTTAGTGGAATCACAGAACCTTCTTGATTTTTTTTCCTGTGCTGTTGAACCACTGCTCTACCCTGCAGCCTTTCTTGAACTTTTTATACTATAAGCTTCAATATTAGCTTACCTGTGTCTACATTCAGCATTTTCTTTGAACATACTGGGCAAACAGATATGAAAGATGGTTTTATATTATCAGTAATCATTTTCAAATACTCATTGCTTTCAATTCTGAAAGAAAGAGGGGAAATTTTCCAGGGAGTCATTAAGAGAAGAACATTGTTTAAGGTTTGGGGCATAATGAATTTTATTTCAAGAGTTTGTTTCACCATCTTAGAAGTTTCAGCTGTATTTCTGAGAGATACAAGATGGTACCTGTAGGTGACTGGAGATATACATTTCAATCTTCAACAATTAGAATAAATTGTTACAAGAAATAGGGAAATAAAGTGAGAAAACAAGGAAGGAGGGAAATCCCACCACCTTGGAACTGCTTAAGTGGCCATGAACTGTCATGAACAAGTTGGGGAATTATTTTTGCAAACGTTTTTAGGGTAGGGCAAGAGAAAAGTAAATTTCAAATGCCCTGAACTCTAGAGAGGCAGGAGGTAAGCGAAAATGAAAAACATCTAAAGAATAAGACAAAACAAAATAATATAGTTGTAAATGTATGTATCTCTCTGTGTGTGTGTTTTTTTTTTGTGTGTGTGTATGTTTAAATATCCTACTAATGTTTTTTTTGTTTGTTTGTTTGTTTGTTTTCTGTCTCCTTCTCTTTACAAGTGAAAAACCTAGATTGTTTAAAAAAAAAAAAAAAAAAAAAAAAAACCTGGTACACCACCTTTGTTTCAAGTTTATTAACAAGGGTGGGGAACTCTCAGTATCAAAAGTTCTCCAGCATGGCTAAAATACAGCAGAGTAGCAGAAATCATCTTTAATTTTAAAAAATTAAATGGCATAACAGAATAGACATGAAATTATTTTTTAAGAGCAAAGTGGATTGTGAAATGTTATCTAATGTCAGTGATCAATTCTCAATTGTTTTTTTACTCATCTCAGCTGTAACTTTCCTTGAAATATTTCCTGCACAAGGATTCTAGGACCTTCCTCTTTCTCCTTATCCCACACTGGTGGCTTCTTCTCAGTCTCTATGGCTGGACACCTCCAATCTTTCCAACATCTCAACATTGGACCTTTTTAGCCCTCAACCTTTCTTTTATCTACCACTCCCTATGTGACATCATTACGTTCCATGGCCATAAATGCTATCTGATGACCACAAATCATACTTTCATCCCTAACTTCTTTCCTGAATACTAGACTCATAAATCCAACTGCCTGCTTAGCATCTCCATGTGGATGTTCAAAATTTAACCTTTGATTCCCTTCCTCATAACTTGCTCTGCACCCTCACTGTGTTAGTCAGTTTTCCATTGCTATGACAAAATACTTGAATAAACAACTTACAAGGAAGAAAAGTTTCTTTTGGCTCAGGTTTTCAGAGGCTTCAATTTAGGCACACTTGGACCTGTTACTCTGGCATGTGGTGACACAATACATCATGGCAGGTACATGTAGCTAAGGAGGCCTATTCACATCACGGGTTCTAGTAAGCTAAGAAAAAGGAGACCAGCATTTCAATATCCCTTCCAAGAGCATGCCCCCAGTGACCTCACTTCTTTCCAAAAGGCCCCACCTTTTAGAGTTTCCACCACCTTCCAATTGCACTATAGGCCGACAACTAATCCTTTAACACACAAGCCTTTGGGAGTGCATTTCGGTTCCAAATTACCAACTACCACCACAGCCTTTCTTCTTTTCGTGATCACAGCTCCACTTTATAGACATTTAAACCAAAATACTTCAACATCATTTTTGAATCCTTCTTTTCCTCCCACTCACCACCTTCATATTAGCAAATCTTATTGTCTTTACCACCTGTCTTAGTTCAGGCTGTTATAACAAGACACCATAAACTGGGTGGCTTAAACAGAAAACATGCATTTTTTATTGTTTTAGAGGTCTAAATTACCAGATCAGCATGCCGGCATGACAGAATTCTGATAAGGACTCTCTTAATGGGTATAGATTTCTAATTTCTCCTTTGATCCTGATATGGTGAAAAGATGGCCAGCCAGCATTCTGTCCTCCTCTTAGAAGGGCACTAATCTCATTTGTGAAGGCTCCACCCTTATGATTTAACTACTTCCATAGGCCCCACCTCCAACTACCATCACCTCGTAATTAGGGTTTCAACATATGAATTTTGGAGTGGTCACAGACACTCAGTTTATTTTATAGTCTAGATAGATCCAGAATCCAACCAGGTCTCACACCTTCAATACCATTGTCCTCTGCCAGGATAGCAGGCCTTCTTATTGACCCCACCCAAACCCCATCATAGTTTATTCTCCCTGCATTGAATAAAGCTAATTTCTTCATTAAATCACCAAATATATACATTTCCAGATCCTTATCATAGCCCAGTGGATCTACATGATGTTGCCTTCATCTCTTACATTCCTTAGCTGTTGACTCATGCCACCAGCCACACTGCCCACCTCACACCTCCAGAACACCCAGGCCTACTCCCGACACACGATCTTTGTTCTTCCTGTCTTAGAGCCTTCTGCCCACAGATTACAGTGTAGCTCATCCACTTCCTCTCTTCACTCATATTTCAGCTCAGGAGAGAGGCTTTTCCTATTCACTCTGTCTTAAAAAAAAAAAAAAAGCATCATCTCTCTCTCTGTCTCCTTTCCTTTAGGTTTTTTGTTTGTTTGTTTGTTTGTTTTTTAAGGATCATCACTAACTGACAGATTACCTGTGTGTGTGTGTGTGTGTGTGTGTGTGTGTGTGTGTGTGATTTAAATGATGTGAATTTAGTGAAATGATTTTCTAGCACATATCCAAATATGTGCTGTAAAATGACTAGGGGGACAGGGGAAGAGAGAGAGAGAGAGGAGGGAAGGAAGGAAAGAATGGAGGGAGGGAAGAAAAAAAGTAAGAGAGAAAGAAAGAAAAAAGAAGCCCTGGACTCTGGTCTTAGTGTGTCCTATTTTGGATTTTCCCTAGCCCACCCTTTTCTGGGGTTGATCAAATGATGACCTACAATTTGATTCTCAAAGGAATTGAAAAAATGGATTTTCCCAGAAAAATAACAAGAAGACCTGAAGATTTAATTCGTAGGCTTTGCAGGTGAGAGTGACCATAAGTATAACCCCTTGTTTTGGATTAAGTGTGAAGGCTTTCAGGTTCTCTCTTTATACATTTTTAAATTAGGTATACACTTACTTTTTAAAAATGTTGCTAATTACATTTAAAGAAAATTTTTTTTTCTGTTATGAAAACTAAGTTAGGAGTTTTGAATTTACCTCATGTGCTGTAGAATCCAGTAGCAATGTATACTTTAAAAAGATCCAAATTTCACAGATTATCTTCAGGAATCATCTTCATCTGTTACAGGGCAAAATAGAATCACAAACCTTGGGTTAAAAATAAAATTATTTATTTATAACCTGGTTGTTTTGAGAGAAAATTAGTAGTGTTGATGCCTTTTTTTCAACTTTTAATTTTTAAAAGGCATTCTTCTGATCTTACTTTAAATTACCCCGATTTTTTCTACTTAATACTAAAATCATTTATCAGAAATAGAGGGCTTCCAGCTTTTTTTGGTTAAGTTCCACTTTGTTGCTACTTTCTTTCTTTTTGTTTTGTGCACTTGAACTTTTTTTGAATCATTAAAATTTAGTAAATTTAGAACATGAAACCTAGCTGTGGTGGCCAGAGGAATTCCTGCCTGTTTCTAAGAAGATTCCAGCTTCAATGTAAATGATTCTCTGGAGCTTTCCCTGGTTTTCTCAGTTGAGTTGGCAAGATAGTACTTACTAAGTGTTTATTTATAGCTCCGTTAAAGAATTCATACAAATACATTCCTAACTAGTTCAACTGTGCCTCTTCCAGGAGGGCCACGTCTTTTTCATCTCCCTAAACTCAGGTGTCTGACCTACAGTAGGAACTTGATGGATACTGCTGAATGAATGAATGAATGAGACTCACTCAAGTATCATTACTGTAAATTCTCTTTTTTAAAAAAAATGTGCTTTCAGGCAAAATCCAACAGAAAGACTGGGAAATCTGAAGAATGGAATCAATGACATTAAGAAACACAGGTCAGTAGTTACTTTTTTGCCCAGAATAATATAGAAATTATGGGAATTTCTATATTGTGTAGATTTTCCATTTTTCCTGTGTGTGTGTGCAAGCGTGTGCGTGTGCAAACTTGGGGGGGTTGGTTTTGTTTTGTTTTTCCTCCTTTGTTTTGGGTGTGGTCAACCCAATCAATCTCAAGGAGATTTTTATACTGTTGGAAATTCATATTGAGAATAGATGAAGTTATAAAACAAGTAACAAAATCACATCTTCAGGTCATAGAAACTTAGCTTTGTACTCACTATTTTCATTGCTTTTTATGATGAACTTGGAGTCTATAAGGAAATTAAGTTCTGTTTTCAACACTGACTTTTTAAATAAAATAGACTATAATCATTACTGTCAATATTCAGGAGAAAGTGTTAGCTAAGTAGGTAGTAAAATAGCACCAACTTATGATGTTTTAACTTTATGATTGTGCAAAGTAACACACAGTCTGTAGAAGCCATATGATGAGTTTTGAATTTTGATCTTTTCTGGGGTTACAGATATGTGGTGTAATATACTCTAGTGATTTCTTGCAGCTGCCAGGCACAGCTCCTGGACAGTCACGTGATCATGAGGGCAAACAACCAATACTCCTTAAGGGACTGTGTTGGTAAGCTATAATGTTAAGTAGGGTAGGTATATTTTAATTTAGGATATTTTCAGGTTATAAAGGGCTTATTAATATGTAACTTCATAATATTTCATCTTATTCTCTTTCAGTTTTAATATGTTTAAATATAATTTTCCTTAGAATATTTCTCCAAATTCTCAAGTCTCATGTTGATTTTATTTATTTTGGTGAAGAACATAGATTTATGCAGAACTTCAAGCATCGAGTTCTCCTTGTGCTGTAATTTAACATGCAGTTAGATTTTTCAGTTCTATGAGTTTCTAAAAATGGTCTTCAGCGCCATTGATAACTTCCTTAAGACATCCTCTCTGATTTGATTAAATATTCAAATGTGGCCCTTCAAACCTGGAGGATTTCTGTTTATTCAGTCAGTACCTGGCTGTGTCCTGCAATCTTCAAGATGTTTTTACTTTGCTTATTATTTATAGATAGAAAATATCACTTATAAAAAAACATTGATAGGACTAAAATAATTTTGAGAATTTCATTAATTGAAAACCTTTGAATCCATTGATGCGGTCGCTGTTAGAAATGAAAACGACTCTCAATAATTTATTACTCTGTGGATTTTCCTTTCTTTTTCTTTTCTTCTTTTCATGCTGGGGATCGAACCCAGGGCCTTGTGCATGCGAAGCACACACTCCCCTACTGAGCTACACCCCCAGCCTTCTATAGAAATTTTCACTGAAGAGCTGGGGACACATCAAAACAGTGTGAAAATAAAAGGAGAGACATGGCTACCGATAAATAGAAACACTATTCATTTTCCTAAACAGTAGCAGTACAGCTTAAAAAAAAAAAATCCCCAAGCTGCCAGCCCTGCTCTATGTATTCATGAACTTACTTGAAATAAAGCCATGTATTCAGCATTCTAAACTCATATCAAGCTCTGCCTTAAGGAGGAAAGAGGGGAAGGAGAAAAAGCAGAATGAGGGAGAAATAAGAAAGATACATCTGCGAATTTTATAGACATCAAAATGCTTGTAGTATTTTCATGTTCTTTCTTGGATTGCCTTCAGTTGTAAAGCTCATTATTTAATCTTAGATTCCAATTTATCTTCTCCCTGCATTCCATGCTATTCTCACAGTTTCTTTTCTCATTATAAAATGACACATCAACACACCATTCACATGGCAGAAACAAGTGTCCCGTCAATTAAAGTGATTCTTTCAATATATTTTCTCCCTTTCTCTCATTAAAATGTCTTCAGGTTTGGCTCTGGGGTAATTGAGAACCAGAAATGATATAATTGTTAACTGCCTGCAGCTCTATCTTTTACTTATTTCCCCAAGTCCATTTAAATGTAGCTGCCAAATTGTGATTGGATGCACATGGAAGTTGATGGTAAAGAACTTCCTCCCCTGGGCATCTTAATAAAGAATTCTGAATTTTATTCCCTGTGGGGAATAATTTGCCTCTTTTTCCTAAGAGGCAAGGTGGTCTTTGCTGTGGGTAGATGTGAAGAAGTCAGAGTATAATGTGTAGAAAAGAGTTGACCAAAAAGATACACCAGGCTTACACAGTGCCTTCTGGAGAGAGCTTAAAACCATGATTTCATTCTATATTTCTGTTTTCATGCTGTTTTTATTGAAAGTTTGGTGGGGGTGGGGGGGGAGATCTCCATATTTTTCACCAAACAGAAGTGTTTTTCAACCTTCCCCAAGTCTCCAAGGTATACAGCTTTACTCCCCAGCATATTCTTAGAATATTAAGGAAAAAAAAAAGTCTGGCATTAGATTTTCCCTTTCTCTAAAGTAAAAGCTTCAATGCTCTTAGAGACCTATTCATGTAAGCATTTCATTTAAACACAATAGAGTTAAACATGGAATATTGTTATATGGATTTATTCATTCGGTGTTTAATTATCTTTTCCTAAAAAATTATTATAGAGCTCCTCTTTCCCATATTTACGAGCTAACTTATAAACGAGGCATCAATCACATCTCCCAACACCTATTTTTAAAAGAAGAATAATAGACTTGTAGGGTACTATTAAATTTTTTCTGATAAGAAGAGGAATAATTTGTTTCAAGTATTTTAAACATTGGTTTTACTTTTAAGAATAGCTTCTACAAGCCTTCTGAAAACAAAGAAGCAATTTATGTGCTCTTAATGCCAATATTTCCTTGGTGAATGTTTTTCACCCATGAGTACATGCTGGCATTTGCATTACTTAAAATGTGGTTAATATCAAAAGGCTAAGTATGAAGTGAATGTCCACTCATGTTAAGTAAACATTACCATAAGTCAAGTTGTAGCAAGTACTCTGTAAAAAACGTACAGTCTCTTTGATTGAGTAATGGTAATGATACAGTCTGAGTAGAATAATGGTAATGATTTTTATTAATGTTTGTGGAATACTTCTGGGTAGAGAGAATTAAAATACGTTAAATGTATTGTTACTGTATTTGGTGGCAAAAGAAAACAATCTACAGAACTATGTACCCAGAAATCTCTAAAAATGGAGCCTCTGTCTGTGGGAAGCAGTGAAGGGTGGATCCAGGAGAGAAATGTGGTTTCTGTTCAGAATTGCAGGGCAGCGGAGGGCGATGGAACTCCTGGTGATGCTGCCTGGAACTCAGTCTTTGGCTAGAGTTCCAGCAGCTTCTACTAAAATGGCACTTTGGTTTAGGAATGGCATCTGAAATGGAATGTACTAGCACTTGCCCTCTCTGTTTTTAGTTCCTACTCTTTTGCTAAACTTAGGCTTGGATTAGGAAATGTAGTCAAGGACTGAACCAGAATCAACTCTGGGGTCCAGAGAGACTGAGAAAGGTAGAAGCACTGACTTGGCTGATAGAAGAATATGACAGCCTCCTGAGAATCACCTTGCCTTCCATCTCACCTCACCACACCATCACTGCCTGACCATCCTGGTCCCCTGTGGTTATTCCCTACTTAGCCAGAATTGTCTTTTGAAAACTCGATTGCATCATTTTCTTACAACTTTGTAATGGCTTCTCATCACACTGAAAAATCAATTTCTTATTGTGCCCTAAAACACACTAATATGATCTGGCCTCTGGTTATTTCTCAATACCTTTTTTTTTTCTTTTTTTAGTTTTCTCTGCTCTCACCACATTTCAGTTCATTTCTGCCACTTCCTTCCATCTGGAAGGCCCTTGCCACAGATGTTCTTGTGGCTTCTTCACCCTTCTCTTCATTCTGGCCTTAATTCTAATAATGCTTTTTAAATACCACCCCAGGTAAAATCCTCTCCTCCTATTATTTCCTTTCCAGCCATCATTTGTTGCTGAAAGCTCGGTCCTTGTCCCCAGTGCCAATCCAAAATAAGGATATGGTTCTGAAAAAAAATGAAAAAGAAGGTTTATTGCTTTGTTAGTAAAGGAGAAACACAGGGGACTCCTGTCCCAAAGTCTGTGATTCTGCTCAACAGCAGGAACAGGGGACTTTTAAAGAGGTGATTCAAAGGCTACATTCCATTCCATGTGTTCTCTGTTGGAGTTATACTTCATTTGTTAATTTTGGAGACAGTCATTTCTGACATCTTCTGGTACCATCCCCAAAGTCTGGATTACTTCATTCCTATGGTGAGTGTGTACCCAAGGACAGATTAACTCTGTCTAGGAGGGGGAAGAAAGGTAACCCTGTTGCCCCAGAGATTAGGGAAGGGGAGAGACTAGGGAGGAGCAGGGAGAGAGGAAGTGAAAGAAATGTCCATTTAAAAAATGCTCTGCAGTGGCAGAGCAACAAGGGTTTTATTCAAAGCATAAAGTGGACCACTGTTACATTTCCCCACTGTCAATTTCTACATTCCATTTCTGTGGAAAAATGGGAGAGCACATCTCCAAACTGCTTCCTGCTGAAAGGGGGCAAAGTTGGGGTAAGTAACCCAAAGTACTTATTCTGTATCAGGTTGGCCGTGGACAGTTAAGGGCATTCAGCATCAGAGCAGTCCAGAGTTCCACAGTGGCAGATGGCAGGTAACTGGACATAGGGCAGAGATCATGCTAAGACACCAATAAACAATACAGCAAAGTATTACTTTTTTGTAAATAATTAGCACAAAAATACTTAGTATTTCAGCAAGTCTCTGAAAACCATGAGGATGGTATCACAATCTTATCAGTGAAAAGCAGATCAAGTTCATCAATGTAGGAGGTTAGGAAGATTTGTGGGTCTATGAAATCAGACTCAAATTAACTCAGGACAACTTTGCAACTCTTGTGATCATTATTATTAGGCACTGTCACACAAGAACCCTTTCTTTATAGCCTCCAGATTTACTTACTTTTGGTAGAGCTGACATAAGAGTACATCTTAAGTTACATTTTAAAAAAAACAAAACATTGTTTTTCCTTTTAAATGTCCATGTAGGA